CGCTTATTAGGCCCAATTTGGTCTGGGCCTGAGGTGGGCTTAATAGCCGGCGACTACTGTATATCTTAATAGTAATAACATCGAGGTTTGGTCTGATGAGTCATCATGTACGTAGCTTATGATGCAGTACTTAAAAGTCGTTTCGACGCGGAAATCAAGATATCAAAATCTAACGACCGTTCATATGTTAAAGAAACACTTTTTTATGTACACTACCTATGGTACTGAGATAATTGACGAAAGCTATGGCCGGTAAGATTATAAAAAGTGCCATGTAGCATAAATTCATTGTTGGTGGACCTTTTCTTTCAGTAACGATACTTCCCATATTAGTGTTTTTTGCTCTGGACCTTTAATTGCGGCCTTACATGTACGCCGTCACGGTTATACTACGTCCACAAGGGAGTGATTTGACTAACTTGACAGAGATTTACTGTGCGAAGGTAAATGAAGGATTCTGCGTAGTTGGTTGATTATGACATCAGGTTTTGTGTGCCTGCTTGACCTAACCATTGTACAAGTTAGGGTTCTTGTATTTCAATGCATTCTATTTTTTTCGTATTCAGCTTACGCGCATTAGTAACATACCTTCTTTCATTACGGCAAAGCTTTAATCATGTCACGTGGACTATCGCATATTCTTCTACTGCCGTTGTACTGTATGAATATAAGTGTAATATTTCCTGTCAAATGTACATGCATGAGTAAAAAGCTATCAGCGTAGACAGAATTTTGCCACTTTATAAAATATGGCATTCAATAACTCAGAGTAAGATAAAAATGCGTCCACTGTCGGTACCCGATGCCGTCAAGTAATGTTAATTGAACTTTAAAAGGAAATTTCTACCCTTGCTAATGGTATTTGAGATGAATTTCGCAAATAAAATTAATGTTATAATCTCCTTTATTAAAATAAATCAAGACATTCTAAGTAAATATAAAACCATTACCGTATATGGTATCCGGCCACCGCAAGCCCCCGAACTGCGCAGGATTGCGGACTTTATCTATAGGCACATAGATATGGCTATCATTTGCCTAACGCTGCGCTAGCATCTCATATTTGAGGTTTTGTAGGATTAGTCGACAGTCCGACAGACGATCGTCTGTCTGATTATTGATGCTTGCTTTGACAAAAAATAGATTTCGAGAAATTTTTACAAATAAATTTAGTTAACCCTTAGCCCGGATTGCCTCACCTGGCCCCGGCTACCTAGGTGGGGCCAGGTGGGGCTGGTGTTTACAGGGATGTTACACAAGCAGAAAAGGGAAAATATTTCAATATCTTCAACGTTGTAAGTACTGGTTCAGTCCAAAAAATTATTTTCAAAAATAAATACATCTTATAAATGAAGTGATGACGAAGAGGACGTACGAAGAATAGTATCTTTTTTCACTGAATAAATCAGGGAATACGAGGATGACTTTAAAAGGGCAACAGTGCAGGCCACTGACAGCCTCATAATTTACTTCACATAAACAATATAAAATGAACAAATCGTGGTAGGATTATGCCTCAACAGTTGGTTTGAATCGATGGGGCATGGAGATTTTTTTAAGACCTAGGGGCTGAAGGCGGAATTTTGAGTGTTAAAAGACTGAACATGGCGCCTTCAATACGCTCAGAAATCGGGACAAGGCTGTGTGGATTCTGGAAAAAATCATCTGAATGTTTAACAAAAGCATCTAAACGAAGTAATTGTACAAGAAATGACGGCAAGACTTGACTTTATTTGGAAGAACACCATCTGAATAATTGTTAAAATATAAGTCAAGGAAAACCAAATTAAGGAATTCAAGTTAAGCGAACGAACGTTTTCGATTAATTCATCATCAGGCAATACAGT